GAATAAACAACTTGCCATTAGAATTTCTTAGTAAATATTGACAATTTCTGGATAAAAACAATTCTTGTAAGTACTGGGGAGATTGACCATTAAGAGTTTTAAACATAACAACAGCTTTTTGCTTTTGACGGTTAACCGACAAAGTGTTCCACTGCAGCTGATCTAGAAGTTGACTAGATGACATATCGTAAGAAGAACGGGTAATGACACGAGCTGCTCTGTTTTGAAGTTTTTGAAGCCTATCACTTAGAGTTACTCCGAGGCCGTCCCATTCTGGAGCACAATAGGAGAAGTATGGTTTTATTAAAACCTTTATAGGCTTTAATAGCAGTTTCTTGGTCAATCAGCCCGCGCACCCGTTTTAGAGCTCCAATACCAGAAGAGATCTTTTTAGTAATGACCTCAACATGGTTTCTCCAAGTAAGGTTTTCATCCAAGGTTAGCCCTAGGGTTTTAGTTGAACTAACTTGCCTCACTGGCACATTGTCGACCGAGACACTTTGCTCGTAATTATTAAAAGTTGCTAAACGCTGACGTGAACCAATGATCATGAACTCAGTTTTAGCAATATTCAAGCTTAATTTGTTGTAAATATTAAAGCTATTAACCATCTGTTTAGGTTAATCAGACTAGAATTCATCAGAAATTCAAGGTGAGATAAATTATCACTACTAAAATTTAGGTTGGTATCGTCAGCAAACATCCTTGCGAAACCCTCATTCAGGCAGTTTGGGAGATCATTGATATAGACCAAGAATAGCAGAGGCCCGATTATTGAACCCTGAGGAACTCCTCTGGATGTAGAAGAGATACCAGAAAACTGACCGTTAACAAAACACTTTTGCCTACGATCAGTTAAATGGGATCTAAACCAAGATTGTGCCAAGTCATCCACACCATATGCTTTCAACCGTCGAACATTGATCGCGCGAATGAGAAAAAGAAGAACTGGACCACAGAGTAGAGACATACAGAGACGTAACTAGTGTACCCACTTTTTTGCGCGCATGCTTGGCAAGTTACTAGATGCATGCATCTGATTGGATGAAGACCTGATGACGACTCACTTTAAACTTGCTGAGCACGCGCAGTTGATCATTTTTCGCCCGGTCGCCTGAAAAAAGTGGGTACACAATAACGTAATCTTCCGCAGTGTTTACAACGGTCAGTTACGTCTCTGTATGTCTTATCTACTCTGTGGACTGGACACAAGTTGTTATATGTTTCTTTTATAGCTCTCGTACGATTTATTATATGTCAATAACTATTGCACAATGTTGTGCCTTATATACCAAACTATTAACATAAATTACAATACAAAATATCTATGAATATATTACATCTCCCTCTTTTTATTGTTTTTGAGTGTTTTTTTTTTAATGTTCTTAAGCAATAACTAAATTGTTCCCTAACTAGAATAGAAATTATTTACAGTCTCCGTACACCAAATAATCTGAAAATCTTTTCGGTTTTGTAACTATCCGACCCGATCGTGTCTTTAATACTAGCGTTGTCGGAGCTTGCACTAATGAATTCTCTTCTTTCGACTCGTCGGTTGGCAATTGTTCAACAACTGTGTTTTGTTGGCGACATTCTGTTGCTTTCTTCACCGGACTTGGTATTTCAATCAAATGTCTTTGATTTCTTCTATAAACACATCCGTCCGGCGTTTTAACATGGTAAGATCTGGGAGCTTGATCGCGGTCAATGACAGTTGCTGGTTGCCAAGTTTTATCACGTATATTCGCACTTGGTCTCCTTTATGCAAGGGTTTCCTAGCCTTTGCAGAACGATCATAATAGTGCTTTTGTTTAATCTTTCGTTTTGTTAAGCAATTCTGTACGTGTCGACGGTTAAGGATCTTTGGAACCAACTGTTTACTTGTGTTTGGTAGATCTGCCCGCAATCTCCTATTCATCAATAGTTGGGCAGGAGAACCAGCATCAGATACAGGAGTATTCCTGTAACTGAGCAGACTTAGATACGGATCTTCTCCACTAGCTTTCGCCTTCTGCAAGAGATTCTTCACTGTTTGAACCGTACGTTCAGCTAGTCTGTTAGACTGTGGATAGACTGGAGAAGAGGTTTTGTGTTGGCGAGCAAAAATAGACGAGCAAAAATAGATTTGGTGTGTTGAATTACCGTAGCGCTCTTTATATTAGACAACAGACAAATCTCGAAAAAATTGCTATAGTAGTCCACTAGGAGTAGATAATTTGCACCGTTCCACCAAAACAAGTCCGTTCCCACCATTTGCCATGGACGACTTGGAATGCAGTGAGGAAGCAACGGTTCTCTTTGTGGAAGGTTTTGATATTCTTGACAAGTTGAACATCTTGATACGTGATCCTCTATTTCTTTCGCCATGCCTAGCCAATACAAAACATCCCTACCACGCTCTTTTGATTTCTGGATACCCATGTGCCCAGTATGTATCCTCATTAACATTTCCTGGCGCATAGGTTTCGGAATGATGATTTTCGCCCCTTTGAACATGATCCCATCGATTTCTGTGATTTCATCACGACAGTTCCAATAGCACTGCGCTAGTGCTGGTATTTCTTTGAGGGACTCGGGCCACCCATGTTTCACGCAACGTTGAAGCTGTTGTAACTCTTCATCACGTTTCGTAGAATCTCGTATTTCTTCCATTTTGCCATCAGAAACGGGCATTTCCTTTACGATACTTTCAACGTAAGATTCTAAATCTAGAGCTTCCGATGGATTCTCTTCACAGGCAACACTCCGTGATAGTGTGTCCGCAACTGGAATGTCCTTTCCAGGTTTATACTTAACGTGCACGTTATACCCCTGTAGACGGGTTCTCATTCTCTGAAATCTCAATGGGGTGGCTTGCAGAGGTTTTCTCATGATTATTTCAAAAGGTTTGTGGTCTGTTTCTGCGTCGAAGTCTCGACCATAGAGGTAGTGGTGGAACTTCTCGCATCCAAAGACTAACGCTAATGCTTCTTTCTCTATTTGAGCGTATGCTTCCTGGGTCGAAGCATATGCCACAGGTTTCCCATCTTGTAGAAGCACAGCTCCTAGCCCTGATTGGGAAGCATCCACTTGTACTGTGACAAGTTTACCAGTATCCTAAACCTTCAAAACTGGACCTGGAACTTACGTTATGATATTTTTCATTTCGGTAAATGCAGCTTCGTGTTCAGGACACCAATTCCAATGGGTATCTTTCTTCACCAACTCTCTCAGGATTGCAGTTTTCTCCGACAGATGTGGTGAATACTGAGCCAAGTATGTGAACATGCCTAGCTGACTCTCCAACTCTTTCTTGTTTTGCAGTGACGTCATATTTCTTACCGCTGCCACTTTGGAGGGGTGGGGTGTCAGACCATCTTTCGTTATCAGCTCACCAAAGAATTTAACATCACTTGAACATTTCTGAATCTTCTTTGGATTAGACTTTACCCTGTTCCGTCTCGCGGCTGTCAAAGTCGCACGTAGCCTCTCGTCGTGCTCTTCTCTTGTTGATCCCGATACAAGTATGTCATCAACAATCACGTGGACACCAGGCAATTCCCCAAATACGCGATCCATCCTCTTTTGGAAGACTTCTTGCGCGGAACATATACCAAATGGCATTCGTAAGTAACAAAATCTACCAAATTGGGTTTGGAACGTCGTCAATATAGAAGATTCCTTGGATAGTAGAACGTTCCAGTAGCCAGCTGTCGCATCTAGAACAGTAAAATACTTCGCACCGGCCAACTGGCTGGTGGTTTCATCTAGCGTGGGCATTTGATAGTGATCCCGTTTTACAGCAAAATTCAAATCCCTGGGATCTAGACAAATTCTTACTTCACCTTTTGGGTTTGGGACAACTACCATAGAGTTGACTCATGCTGTTGGCTCATCAACTCTTCGTAATATATTTAACTTTTCCATTCGTTCTAATTCGTGTTTTACTTTATCTCTCAAGCTGACAGGTGTTTTTCTTGCACCATGCACGACGGGTTTAACGCCTGGCTTTAATTGAATGTGATATTCATGCGATAAACATCCTTGGCCTTTGAAAACATCACTAAACTCTTCAAGTAACTGATCACAATTGGTGTTTCGTCCGGCTTATTCACCGTCATTATAACTTTGATTAATGATAGATCTTGGCATGTTTTAAACTCAAAGCAGCGAGAGCAGTGGCATTAACAACGTAAAATTCAAGGTTATGGGCTTCGTTCTTATATCCCACACCTGACACCATGTTATATGTTTCTTTTATAGCTCTCGTTCTTATATTTGCATTTCAGCTGACATCTACCAATTCTATTTCCCCCGTATGCAATTAATTTTACTTTAGTTGGCTGTAACACTTTTGACTTTGTCTTTAAGGAATTATAAACGTGTACCGGCATTACGTTAACTTGGGCCCCAGTATCTAGTTTAGCTTTAATTGAGTCACTCCCTTCGATTAACAACTGCAAGGATATTTCATCGTTTGTATCGCTAACTTCATTAACTACCCCGATAAAGAAATCACCGTCCTCGTAACTTGAATTGTTAGAAGCTTCAACTGCATGCACCGTCTTACTTCTACACATTCGTGAATAGTGATTACATTTTTTACACTTAAAGCAAACTTTACCTTTAGCTGGGCAAACTTGCTTACCCACATGTTTACGACCACAGCAGCTACACAATCTTCCAGATTCCGTTCTTTCCGACTTCGCTGTCGTTGATCGTCTTGTACTTTGTTTTTATTTGATTTACGCCAACTTTTATTCATTGCGTGCACTGTCTTGTCGCTTTCTTCAGAGACGTCTTTCAATTGATGTGTAGATATTTCAATTCCCTGGCAATGTTTATAGCCCTTGATAAGTCAAGCGTTTCGGCTTGCAAAAGTTTTTCTTTAATTCGTGGATTGTTTGTGCCGCAAACAATCTGATCTCGAATGATTTCTTCCAAAAGTTCTCCGTAAGAACAGTCATTCGCTAGCCGTTTTAGTTCTGTTACATATTGGTCTATATTATCGTCGCTTCGTTGAACTCTCGTATTAAACTTGTAGCGTAGCACCGTAACATTCTCCTTAGGATAGCAATAGGCCTCGAACCTATCAAATAATGCGTCGATCTTGTCTATTCCAGCATTATTCAACGCCCAAGAATTGTAGCTATCTCTGCATTTTTTACCAATGTAAAGCAGAAAATAACCAGCCCTTAAAAAGCCCTTAAATCTTCAGTTACAACATCACAACTTACAAGTAAAATTCCTATAAAATTCCATCAGTAAAATTCATGACTCGCTCATATTGTTACCACTTGCCATCAGGAATGATTATAAATTTAAAAAATATGAAATATATTTCCTGACGATAACTGAATTTTAGTCGAAATACGTTGGTCAAATTTAGCAAAATTTCTCCCACTCGTGCGGGCTCGTATTGTCAGCGGACATCTTACAGAAAGTGGGCAGTTCTGTGCAAAATGTAAAAGTTTCAATTTTTCACAAGTCCGCTGAAAATGCGAGCCTGTGGTACTGGGAGAAAATTTGCTGAATATGACCAGCGGGAAAGCTACAATATTAAAATGTTTATTTTCGAAGTTACCGTTGTTTTATATTTTATTAAAATACTCAGTGGTTCCCATAATTTTTACCGGTTACGTATGACGCCATTGACGTACGTCAACGAATGTTTTCACGATTTCATGTTTGTCAATAGAGCCCCCCCGGTAAATTTAGTTCTACAGCACTGCTGCAAAGCCTTGCAAAGTCTCTATTGCACTATTCGTCGACTATTCGTACTACTGCGGATTCAGGTAGACCGTTTAATGCGAATAGTTGTCGCGTTAGTTTTGACAGTTGTACGATGACGTTTCTAGGCAGATTTTCGACGTTTCTAAGGCGTGGCTTCAACGTTTATTTTTAAAATTTGAACGTTGTAATTACAAGGTAATTGCCAGATAGTATACTTCAAAATAAGGTTTCCGTTTTTATATCAATTTTTTAAATAAGTTAGGGTTAGGTTAGGGTTTAGTTTTGCGTTAGGATGATTTTTTCTACGTTATAAAAACGGAAACCTTATTTTGAAGTATACTATCTGGCAATTACCTTGTAATTACAACGTTCAAATTTTAAAAATAAACGTTGAAGCCACGCCTTAGAAACGTCGAAAATCTGCCTAGACACGTCATCGTACAAAGTTTAAAACTAACGCGACAACTATTTGCATTAAACGGTCTACCTGAATCCGCAGTAATTACTGTACAAAATTTCAGACAATTTGCTTTAGTTTAAAGCCCTTTAACTATTCATTTTTCTCTAAAAAATTAGCCTTTCGCATGCTTAATTATGCCTTTACCTAATTTGCATATTGCTGACATATGCAAATTAGGCAAAGGCATTGATTAGCATGCAAATGGATGATTTTTTAAGAAAAAATGTAAGTTTGCGTGAATGGTTAAAGGGCGTAAACTGACGCAAATTGTCTGAAATTTTGTACAGTACTTGATTAAACACCCAACAAACTTTCCATCTGTTAACTTAAAATATGATTAAAGCTTTTAAATTTTGTGCGCAAGCCATTTTTAGTTTGTTGGAAAAGACACACACCCCTGGTTCACAAAATTTGAGTTTGAGAAATTGTTTCCATTTTTCTACATTATAAGTACCCAAAGAAGCTATATACATAAAAAACTGGATACTAATAGCTGTTTTGCAAATTTAAGAGCAAATTTCAAATCTGTGCAGTTTTTTTTATACACCCTGTACACTCAGTCATATAATTAAATATACTGTACTTTAACAAGCAAGTTTACTGTACTGTGCTGCAGCAACTGTCCAGTCACACAGGCATGATAAAAAGTCGAATGAACATTAGACACAAAGGTAATTGAAAATGTAACAGAACATCTCGAATAATGGTAATGTTGGGATTAGAGGTGTGCAAATCCGATCCGATTCGTTCTGACTTCGGAACAAAAATATTCATTTCGGATTGCATCGGATTGATAAAGTTGTTTCGTAGTCAGATCGGACTTCGATATTCGACATAAAATGAATTAATTATATATAATTATTATTTGGTTAAATATTTCCACTTGAATGTCGAGAAATTTATTTTAATTATTAAACTTTAAGGATTCTTTGAATCGGAATTCTTTATCAAAACTCGGATCGGATTTGAATTAGACAATTTTGGATCAGACTTTAAACATTAGCCAATTGTCAGATTATAAACGTCCAATCCAATTCGATGCATATACCTCTAGTTGGGACAGTAGTGTTGCAGACTGCAGAGGAGATCAGAGTGGGTAGTAAGGCTCCTCATGCACTACCCCATGGAAACCTGCATCCCTCCATACACATGAGCCTAGATCCACTCCTGCTCTTCTTTAAATACATATAATATATATTAGAAAACATTTCTCTCACCTTCAATTGCAGATGTGGGAGATCTTGCCCAGCGCTTGATGCAATAAAGATGAAATATATGAAAGCAGTTTGAACATGACCAGACACCTTTTGAACATCTGATCACCTCACAACACACCATACACTCATACTTCTCATCGGTCAACTGTTCAATCAACACACTTGCTTGCACTGAAGACTGCCCTGGCGATTTGATGCTAACAGCTTGAAAATTTGCATTCAACTTGCCTACATCGTATGACGCTTGCTTGTGTGGACCTCCAACATAATATGAATAATCAAATCTCTTTGATGAATGTAAATTCCTTTGAAGATCAGTTCGATTATTCACGATTGAACTATCATCAACAAATTGTTTCTTCTTAGAACCTCGCCCAGTATTTACCAATTTATTTTTAGGCACATAAATACCATCACTTACAATCCCATGACTTGTGAAAGGTTTTTGAGTGTCTGTGACCATTAGGGCAGGGGGTTGAGATGGCAATGGTGCTGAAACAACCAGTTGACTAGCCGTACCATGCTTGCTGGGTTGGGATCCAAAATTTTTAGCAGAACCTGGTTTTGACTTTGAGTAATTATTAAATCCCTGGGTTCTTCCACAATGAGCTCTAGATTTATTATCTATGTTGGTCTGATGTGGTTTGGGATTTTCTATACCACCCTGCCTACTTGCATTGTAGGTTGAAGAACATGTTCCTTCAGGCTTGGATTTATCTTCCCTGTATTTTATATCAGCTTTCAACACCTCTCCCTCAGTTTGGTTATTCTGTCCAATTTCTCCAAACATCTTTCCTTGTGATCGGGCATTTTGCCTACCTCTGGGCTTAGACCTGCTTTTGGGTTTTGTATCACCAGCATTCCCTACTCCCACCTCCCTTTCCGGCTGCTCTTGGTTGGGCTTAGATCTTGAATTTCTGCTAAAGTTACCTTGCCTACCTCTGGAATTTATAGTTTTACTTTGAGCTGCTGTTTTGCCTGTTTTATCCGTACAATCGCTGGAAGATTGTTCAGCCTCGCCCTTGGCCAGTGTCTTTGATTCTGACGGACCAGCTTCAGCCATGTCCACGTTTACAGTTTATAAAGAATGACAAAACTGTATTTCATTTTTTTCCATATTTGCAGAAATAAAGTACAGTTACTTGTTACTCAGGATCTAGCCCATGCTCAAGTGGGACTACTGAACCATATTCTGAACCATACACACATACAGTATTTCCAGTTTTCAGTTTTTTCACACTTCACCCAGTTGGCCAGTTTCTGTGCCAGTGATTCACCCTGTGGTCACATGGTTCACCACAAGAATTTCGAAACACGTGATTAATTCTGCGGGCGCATTCGGTGACCTGCGAGCCTGCAAATTCAGTAATATTCTACATTCACAGATTTCCAGAGTAGATTTCTGGTTCTTGGCTTGCGAGAAAGATTGAAACTTCAGAAGTTATAAAATCAAGGCGAGATTACAAATATTAAACGAAAGCCATAGTGTGAAAGCCATTAAAAATGATGGGATTGTTGAGGGAGATCAACACAAATGCAAATGGTCGAATTGTTTGAATCGAAAAGCAGGAATTTCAGGTAAAAAATATAAACTACTGTTTTAAGTATCTGTGATATTTTTATATAGGCATACAGGCTTATACAGCCATAATTTATAATTTGTTTACAAGCTTTCATACAGCTTACAACTTTAAATAGTTTTTGAAGTAAATATTTTGCCGTAATACTGTAAAACAGAAGAGCACTGTATTAATTAAAGAGGAAAATCAGTGTGACTGTGCGCCGCCATAACAGCCATATTCACCAAAATATATATATATTATTTAGCTTAAAAAGGCGTGTTTCAAACGTCGCGCTTCTCATGTGCCTAACGCATTAAAAACAATAGATAATCAGCTGAAATGCCTCATTTATCTAATGTTTCTAAAACGCGACGTTTGAAACAAGCCTAAAATAGATTTTATGTGCTACTATCTGCTGTGATTATTCATGCTGAAACAGATAAATGTTTATGAAAGCATTAAAACCAGGGGCAGATCTGGCCTGAATTGTTAGAGGGGGTGGAGGCATTTGTTAGGATTACATCTATATCCCCGCGATACAAAGAGTTTAAAACACAACAACAAAGGTTATATTATTTATAAGACAAAGAGTTAACAATAGATCACGAGGACATACCACATGACTTCACAACATACATATATTAGCATATGTAAACACATATAATTATATTCTTCATCACTCCCACTTAATTATTGGGTTTTTGTATCTGCGAAGCAGATATATATGCCATCGCAAACGTACCGTACCGTATGTTAACAGATAGCCATTCAGCGACGAGCTTATATATTTTAAACTATTTTATGCCAATTTAAGCCAATCAGCGATTCGTTTACATCAATTGTTTACATCGTGCCCGCTGATATAACCTTCGAACGGGCATACTTTAGCCTCGTCAGGCCTCGTGTATAAATCGTGTTTATATTCTTTCAAAAATATCTTGATATTTTTATCAATTTATCTTGAATTGGCTGTCTTTTGCGATATTATTCCGAAGTTATTTATCAACATGGAATCTTATCCTCATCTGGTAAGTAGTCAAATACCACATATTATATATTTAAATACCAAATTTGTGCAAATGAGCAAATGTATGTGAGTATGTCCCACATATTTTATAAGTTTTTAATATAATACATAACATGAGTTCGCCAGTTGGGCAAATATTTACTATACTATCTATAGTTAATATTGCCGTATCTTCGGCGTAGAGTTTACATGGAATGCACTCTGGAATTTTTTTATTATTATATTACACTGTTAAAATATTGAATATTTTCGAGGATATTTTAAGCCATTTGTCAACATAGTTCACAAAAAGATTTATACAGTATTAAAAACAATCCTTCTGTGACTTCTGTAATATTTTAAACAGTGAAAACATTCTCAGGAGATATTGAATTAAATCCTGGTCCTGTATTTCTGTATATTGACTCCATAACTCTGTTCAAAACAACAGTCCAACTATAAAGCTGTCATCAAATGTAGTGTTAGAGCAAAGGTTGAAGATGTTATCAGTTACAGTGAAAATACAAAAAGTGTCCCGCTTCTGTAGTTTGTTGTGATTTACTGTAATTTGTTCTGTTTTTCTGTAGTGATTACTGATTTATCGGCAAATACTGCGATAAAATTTAAATTTCGTACCTTTTATGCAATGAAACTAATGAAAAATGTATTATTTCCCTTTGCTACAAATTATCATATTTAAAAAGTAGAGAAAACTAAGTTTTATCGCGGTATTTGCCGATAAATCAGTAATCGCTACAGAAAAACAGAACAAATTACAGTAAATCACAACAAATTACAGTAAATCACAACAAACTACAGAAGCGGAAGTGGGACACTTTTTGTATTTTCACTGTAAAATACTTATACATTTTGGTTTTACACATTAGAGTTAATTAAACAAAATTGTTTACAAACCTTTTCAAATAAAAGAATCCTCACCCTCCCGAGCCTCATTACATTGTCATTTTGCTTTCTAACATAAATATTTGTCTTTAGAGATTAATACAAGAATGAAGAATAAATGTACTTGATATTGGCTGGATAATTTTGTCAGAACAACCAACTTGCAAGACAATCTTACCTAAATTCATTAGTATGGAAAGTAACTTGACAGCTACAATGAGTAATCATATATTATATGATGGATTTGATCAATGGCACACAATGTACAAAACTAAACTTGTGATACCTTCTACTCAAGCCGATAATCTCCCACAACACAATTGTTTTTGTGTGAATGTCCGGTACGTGTTAAACCAAACAGTGTGGTATATCATTAACTGTGCACAGAACTGGAATTTAATTATGTACTTCACTCATGACCTTCAAAACATTCTCAATTATTCAGTGGTCTTCGACATGTTCACCAAATATTTTGTGTATGTTACTCAACAGTTAACATTGGCAAGTGTAAACAACAAGTGACATAACTGCTTCATATGATTACAATAAAGTTTTGAAAATTTGATGAGTATGGATTGAATTGACAGGTGACAGTTTACTAAATAGCCGGCTGTATAGACACTTTGAATATTGTTTGCATGAAATTTTTATTTCCTGACTGCATAATTATCTGTTACAATCATAATCACATTATAAAGTTAGTTAAAAATATCTTCATTATTCAGTTTCTTTCAAGAAAATACAAAATGTGAATCAAGTTTTTTCGCAGATACATGTACGCGTCGCGTACCTATTTTTGTATCTGCGAAGCAGATATATTGCTATCGCAAACGTGACCGTACCGTACCGTATCCCTAGCCATTCAGCGACGAGCTTATATAATTTAAGCCAATTTAAGCCAATCAGCGATTCGTTTACATCAATTGTTTACATCGTGCCCGCATCTAACCTGCGAACGGGCATACTTTAGCCTCGTCAGGCCTCGTGTATAAATCGTGTTTATATTCTTTCAAAAATATCTTGATATTTTTATCAATTTATCTTGAATTGGCTGTCTTGTTTTCTCGCCATTCTACTTGCGATATTATTCCGAAGTTATTTATCAACATGGAATCTTATCCTCATCTGGTAAGTAGTCAAATACCACATATTATATATTTAAATACCAAATTTGTGCAAATATATGTCCCACATATTTTATAATACATGAGTTCGCCAGTTCGGCAAATATTTACTATACTATCTATAGTTAATATTACCGTATCTTCGGCGTAGAGTGCATGGAATGCACTCTGGAATTTTTTTATTAATATATTACACTGTATAAAATATTGGACGTTTTCGAGGATATTTTAAGCCATTTGTCAACATAGTTCACAAAAAGATTTATACAGTATTAAAAACAATCCTTCTGTGACTTCTGTAATATTTTAAACAGTGAAAACATAGCAGGCAATATTGCCAATTAACAATATCAAAGGAACCTATTGGACAGTTCTCAGGAGATATTGAATTAAATCCTGGTCCTGTATTTCTGTATATTGACTCCTGTAACGTGCCGCGTTGGTACACAACAAGCGCTCGCAATCAAGGCCAGAATGGAGAACCTTTATTATTCTAAAACACAATCTTATATATCATACAACAACACTCCGTGGGAGACTCTCCCAAAGAAGGAACTACGTCATTTACCTATCAACAGCTCTAGATAGTCAGGAAACAGCAAAGTCTCTACCGCTTAATCCTATTACTATAATATAGGTTTTACATCAATACAGTATGCACCTATGAACGCCACACTGCGTAACTCTGTTCAAAACAACAGTCCAACTATAAAACTGTCATCAAATGTAGTGTTAGAGCAAAGGTTAAAGATATTATCTGTTAAAATACTTATACATTCTATTTAGTTTTACACATTAGAGTTATTTAAACAAAGTTTTTACAAACATTTTCAAATAAAAGAATCTTAACCCTCCCGAGCCTCATTACATTGTCATTTTGCTTTCTAACATAAATATTTTTCTTTAGAGATTAATACAAGAATGAAGAATAAATGTACTGGATATTGGCTGGATAATTTTGTCAGAACAACCAACTTGCAAGACAATCTTACCTAAATTCATTAGTATGGAAAATAACTTAACAGCTACAATGAATAATCATATATTATATGGTGGATTTGATCAATGGCACACAATGTACAAAACTAAACTTGTGGTACTTTCTACTCAACCCGATAATCTCCCACAACAGAATTGTTTTTGTGTGAATGTGCTGTACGTGTTAAACCGAACAGTGTGGTATATCATTAACTGTGCACAGAACTGGAATTTAATTATATACTTCACTCATGACCTTCAAAACATTCTCAATTATTCAGTGGTCTTCGACATGTTCAACAAATATTTTGTGTATGTTACTCAACAGTTAACATTTGCAAGTGTAAACAACAAGTGACACAACTTTTGCTTCATATGATTACAATAAAGTTTTGAAAATTTGATGAGTATATGGATTGAATTGACAGGTGACAGTTTACTAAATATCCAGCTGTATAGACACTTTGAATATTGTTTGCATGAAATTTTT